TCTAAGCTGAAGCTTATGGGTTTGGTGGTAGTGGTGGTGTGTGTTCCCTTGCATGTGTAGAACCCATGTGAAGAAGTCAGGTGTGGTGGTTCATGCTTGTAATCTCAGAACTGTCATGGTGGAGACAAATGAATGTCTAGCCTGACTAGTGAGTTCTAGGCCAGTGAGAGACTCTGTCTAAAAATCAAATTAAAAATAATTTTTAAAATGGGCATGACTCCTGAGGATGGACGTGTGTGTGTGTGTGTGTGTGTGTGTGTGTGTGTGTGTGTGTGTTTGGGGGGCCCATATCTAGTTTAAAAGACATAACTTCCCTATCTCTCCCCCTCTGGCAACTGCTGGGATTTTTTTTCTTGCTTGTGTTATTTTTCTCTCAAACTTCAAGAAACAAACAAACAAACAAAAAACCATTCTCAAGCTGCCTTCTGATTCTATTTTTGATTATTTTACTAACGAGACTAAGAACCCAAAGGGAACCCCAGTTTTCCTGACAGCAGAGCCACTTCTGTAGCCTGGCCAGAGCAGGTGCCCACAGAATTGAACAGGATGTCTTACACTTCCTGAATGCCGACCTCCCTAACCTCAGCAGGATATAGATGCTGATTGGATGATGAGGTGACCAAGCTCACAAACTCCCATGTGGTCCAGGCTACTGGGTAGGGTCCTCAAACTGAGGGGTGGAATGCACCTCTTTAGACACATCCAGGATTGGTAGAGTTTATGTAGTGTACCCATGCATGGCCATGGTGCCATAAGGAAGGTGAATTCCATGGTCTGTTCTCCTGAAGCTGAAATGTAGCAGGGCCAGGTCCTTGCTTTACATAAGCATGAAAGGAAAGACCCAAGTGAAATTTGCCTTTATGATAAGACAACGACCTGGGATCATCTGTTTCATCTGCTTCAGATTGTCCTCTCTGTAGACTCCCTAGCCATAAAAGTGGTGCCTTTCACAACGAGTTCCAATTCCACCTTCTGTATGAGGGGGCTTCTTCTCATACAGCAAGTTGGCTCATCTGAGCATGTGTTCTCAGGATCACCTGGACTACAGAATTACTTTTCAGCGTAGAGTGTAGAGGAACACCTCGTCAATCCTAACCTTAGTTGTAGGATAGAGTTGGGCTGAAGAAAAATGCTGAGAGGAGAAGAGAGAGCTCATACTATGGCTGAGGAAGACATGGACTCTGTGTTCACCTCAGAGCTGATAGGCATTTGTAGCAGCTTCATTTCCAAGCTGATACTATTACCCTGACCTGAGGAGTGGTGTGTTCCTTCAGGTTGCAGGTTTTGTGGTTCAGTCTTTGCTGGGCAGGCCTATCCTATGTTTTTCTCAAGGGAAGGGACAACTTAAGGGTGCCTTGCATGTAGGTATGGTCATGCAGGCTCAGGATGCTCACCTTTGCTCTGCAGTCCTGGCCCTTGTTCACTTCCTTCTAGACAGCGATTTGACAGCCACCCAAATTTTCCAGGCACTCACCAGAGGCTCTAAACAATCAGCCTGTTTAACAGAGGCTGGCGTGCCTCTGATCTGTCTGTCCATCTGTCAGCTACCTATTGGGCGTGCCTCCTGCCATCTTCCCTTTGGTGCAGATATTCTCATAGCTGCATCAAGGATGAACTGCTCTTGATGAGATGAACACCCAAGCCTTTGTTCTCTGGAGTTAAACAGGACTCCAGGATCTGGGCTCCAGGATCAAGGGCACACATGCTTTCATTTCAGCTCCTGGCAGAAAGCATATTCTTCCAAGGTGCTGGCAGAGCCCATGCTGCTTTTATAATGTTCTACACCAAAAAAATTTCCCCTAACAATAATAGTCCCCTGCAACTCCTTAGTATTTTTGAAACACAATATGGACATGAAATACCCCTTGAATAAAGATAGGTGACTCTTACATCCCTGCTTATCAAGCGAATTTATCAATGGCAGAATGGGTGGGCATGGACAGTTTCCATGTCAAGAGAATTTATCAATGGCAGAATGGGTGGGCATGGACAGTTTCCGCAGTCCAGGATGCTGCACCAAGGTCAGAATTTAACCCTTCATAGGCTTGAGCACTATGGGTGGGGCACCCTGGGGCTTATCCCGTGTGTGGTGTTCAGCGAATCTGCAGGTGGGCATCCCCAGAAACCTGTGTTTACTTTGATCTGAGCTGGCCACGGCAAGGATGGCTTCCAGTGAGAGACATATCTGCACACATAAACCTTTCTTGCTTAAAATGTCAGCACCGTGGACAGTACCACATGGCCCATTCCTCCTTCAAGACACCAGTGTCTGTTGTGCCTGGGCAGTTACTGACATCACAATGCCACTGGCTGGTGTAGATGGTTCTGTCGGGACTAATCAGAAGTGGACATCCTTGTCTAGGGCTCCAGGATTCAGAGATGACCTTGATTTCACAGTGTTGCTGCAAGGGGCAGAAAACAAGAGGATGGGAAGGAGGGAAGAGGGGGATCTCAGCACTGAGAAACAGAGGGAAAGAGCCCTTCTGTGATTCTGAAGTCATGGCTATGCCTGAAGGCTTCGGAGGACTGGGTAGTAAAGAGTCACAGTGAGTGAACAGATGTGAGCTTAAAAATTATCGTTCTCATGAGAGAGTAGAAACTGGCTGACCAGTAGCATTTTTGTACTTTCTTGACAAGCAAAAATTAGATGCATGAAAGACAAAAATGGCAATATGTATGATGAGTCAGTGATACCACCCCACTCAGCTTTTGACCACCCCACCCAACCTCTGTGGCACTGGTTGTAGGCATGTGATACTGGGTTCTCTAATGGTTTCTGATCTGTACTTGTGGGTCTCTTCATAGATATGGTGACTCTGGGCTGATATGGGACAAGGAAGAGGTTTCTCGTCTGTCAGGTTTCTCTCACTGAGCTCAGCTTGCCTTTGAAGGCCAGCCATAGGACTGAATTCCTGGAATTAGCAATCTGGAGGTCATTCATAGGTAAGGGATTCCACAGACCTGCCACTGCCAACCAAGTACACTCAGGACTAGCCCACTCAGCATGGATTTCAGGGGAAGCCATGCACACACAGAGTGCACCCTAGGGAACCTAGATTTGGAGAAATGGCATCACACAGATGCCCACTGGGCATCATGCAGCTGCCCTGAACCTACATATGAGTCAGTTTTCTGCCACGTAAAAAGCTGGGAAAGCAATAATCATGTGGTCTCGGTCATGGACAGAGTGTAATGAGGCTGGGTCTGAATGGCACAGGTCTACTTCCCCACCCTGGTCTACTCTGGATTTGTTCTTCAGCAGCCTCTGCTCTCCTGTGGCTTCAGACCACTCTCTAGGTGTGAATCCTTCCACCTCTGTCTGAGCTGGTACAACAGATGACCCAGAGCAACTGCTGGAACCCATAGTGAAGGCAGGAAGGACAGGAGCACACAGACGACCTGCACCCAGCCTGGGTAGAGCTTCTCCTCTCTTGAGGGGAAATGTTCCTGTGGAAACAGAAGGGCATGCTCAGATATATGTCCTGACAGGGACCACACCACCCATCCCCAAGAGGAGCTAGGCTGATCCTTGGCCACCAACTTAAGTAAAATGGCAACTTCACTCCCCACTTCTTGAAACAGTGAGTACACAGATTCTTGGGGAAATGAAAGAAGTTTGGCCAGAACTCATCTACCCCAACCTCTCCTGAGGGTGAGTACGCCCAAAAGGGCAGCTTTGTACAACCATCATTCTGGGTCCCCATATTTCTCTTCTGTGACATGGCAACATAGCTTACCCAACTTTCAGATGCTTCTTGTGTGCTTGCATGGGCAGACATAAGATGCATCTAACAGGACAGTTCTCATGCAAACTTCCCAGGCATACAGCTTCCTTTACAGGTCTCTGCTGCTCAGCTCGGGTCTCTCTTTAGGACGGACTTAGAGAGGATTGCTCTCTTGATAATGAGAGACACAGATGCAGGTGAAGTTCTGAACCATGCATATGTGCCTCTAATGACCAGGCAGTTGGGTAAAGGTCAAGAGTCACAGCTGGAAGCGACTCACCCACCTTAGGAGACTGTGAAAAGCCTGGGGCCATATTGATAACTATACAACATCCTCTGTCCATCATTTATCTTAAAAAAAAACTGATCAGTTTTCTGGCACACAGAGAAAGTAAAATGTCCCTAAGAAAGAGGCCAGTGGGACCTATGTCTCTAGAGCAGTGTTTCTGAATCTTTCTAATGCTTTGACCACTTAATTTAATTCCTCATGCTCTGGTGACCCATCAACCATAAAATTATTTTCGTTGCTACTTCATAGCTGTAATTTTGTTACTGTTATTAATCATGTTGTAAATATCTATGTTTTCCAATAGTCCTGGGTGACCCCTGTGAAAGGTTGTTTGACCCCAAAAGGGTCTGCAAAGCACAGGTTGAGAACCACTGTCCTAGAGTCTAGAGACCACTGAGATCCACACTCTGCTCATGAAAGCCCTAGCCTTGGAATGTTAGCATCCTCAAGTCTTATAGACAACCAACTATTTACACCCCTAATTTCCCAGTTACCAGAAGTGGTCAGACCACACACTACTACATATAGATCATCTAAGCCATGGGAAGCACCATGGATGTTAGGTAACACCTGAAGGATTCCCACAGCCTCATGAGAAGGACCTACATATTGGGGGTCCCAGGCTTTGTAGCTGGGCGGTCTCTGGGTCAGAAGGATGATGTAGGACAGGAAGATGCTGAGCAGCAGCAGAGGGCTCACCACCCTCCACGTCACCTGCCAGTAGAGCCCGGGCCTCCGCCCAGTCATCCACTTAATGTCATCACAGAACCTGCAGAAGACACGGGAAACATTAGCTCCAGTTCCCTTGTATGGGTCATTGGACAGCCCATCCTTTAAAGCCAAGAGCCGTGGGAACTCGAGCCAACCCTGGATCTTAAGGTACCAGGGCAGAGCATTTCCCAGGATCCAGACAGCTGTGGATACAGCTACACCACCCATTCCATTCCCTACACTGCTCTGAGAGGGGGCACTGGAACAGCTTACCGCTTCATCCCATAAACGTAGATGACTCCAACCACCTCCATGAAGGCAAAAAAGATCAGATTCAGAGAAGCTGCGAAGCTGTCGAAGATCTCCAGCCAATAGTTTCCAGACTGCAGTGTGAAGCAGATGGCTGAGAGGAAACAGACAAAGCAGACCATCCCTGGGGACAAAGGTAAGCAGGATGAGAGGCCGTGTGGTGGAGCATCAGGAGGCCCTGGGCAGCAGCAGGCTTTTCAGGTTTCCTTGACCCCTATCCCTTGGTTCCTTTCTCCCTGTCTCTCCCAGTACTTTTCCAGGCAGCAAGGAGGACCTATTAGAGTTGGGGTTCAGTTTGCATAGGAATAGGGGAAGGGAAGCCCAACTCTTGCTCCTCCCTTCTCCCCAATCCTATCTATCTTCCCCCCATCCTTTCCTTCTTACTACTATTCCCCAAACCAAGGCCATTGGGGTTTTCCAACTTCTAGAGGTGAGCCTGGCCCCAGCCTTCCCCAGGGCCCTGGACTTCTGCTTCCAAGTGTTGAACGGTGGGCAAGATGGACAAAAGCCCAGGGTGGACAGTGAGGACAGGCCCTCTACCCATCTACTTACCGGTCATGGCTTCTTTGGGGATACCTCTAGGTAAGATCCCTATGTCAAATAGTGGTGTGATGACACTCTCCATGTTCCCGAACATGGAGGACAGTCCCAGGGTAAACAACATCCCAAAGAAGAGCACGGACCACACAGAAGCGGCTGGCATGTGCAGGGCAGCTTCTGTGAAAACGATGAAGGCCAGGCCTGGACCTGAGGCACTCTGCAACACAGAGGCTATGCTATGGTCATGTGCACAGCACACAACTCACATCATAACACATACACACCCCCATCCTGATACATGTGCATCCATACCTTTACCTGAATGTGCTATGCTATAAGATGTATACATGTCACACAGTGACACGTGTATACACACTGACATGTGTGTACAGCATCATAACATGTACACAATCCATACCATGACACATATGCCCTGTTCAGTGACATATCTGTGCTCCACACTGTCACACACACACACACACCCTCATTGTGATATGTGTAATACACATGCACCCACACCATGACACACGCACACCCTTACTATGACACATGTGTACTCTACCCTATGATACATTCACGCCTCACACCATGACATAGGCAAACCCTGCACTGTGATATGTGCATGCCTCACAGCATCACATTTGTGCATCGCTGCACCTACCATGACATGTGTGTCCCATACTGTGATATGTACACACTACACCATGATCTATATACACACATGCTTTCTGGTATCAGAAATGCTACACTGCTTTTCTGGGAAGACAAGCCACAGGCATACCTCTGAGGGAAGGGGGCATTTTTTCCTTGAATAAGGAATATCAGCTGAGCAGGGAATATATGGCCTTGGGATCAGGGGCCAGGAACTACTGCCCTGAGGATCTTCCCCCAAGTAGTCATCCCCAGTCTGGTACCTATGGGTCCCCAGCACCCACAGTCCTCTATGACAAGACTGCAGCTTCCATGTTCTGTGTCCCAGCAGTATTGTCATCCTAAATTTGTCCTGTCTGCTAGATGCAGGTGGACTGAGGTGCTTTTCTGTGGTTCCCTATGGGATGTCTCCAGCGTTTTGCAGCTCAGGATTCTGTGTGGCCCTGGTTTTCTAGGGACAGCCCTCCTGTCATGTTCCTGTGGGTACCTTATCCAGAAAGTCTTCCAGATGGCAGGTCTTCAGTGGGAGCTGGGCCAACCTTTCGGGATGAGTGGCATTCAGGTGCATGAGGACAGCTGGGTACTCATCCCTGGAGATGCTAAGCTCTGGAAAGTCGAACTCATTGATGAGGCTCAAGATGTTTCTGCAGGAGCAGAAAGAGACTGGTGAGGATAGGATTGGATGCTCTACAATAGCCAGCAAATGTTCCAATATCCCAGGGAAGTTCTGAAACAAATAGCAGCACCCAGATGAGGACTCCAGCCTTTCCAGACCCTGCGGTGTCCCACGGATACCTGTGTCTGGCCAGCACTGGAAAGAGGCTGTTCCCACCTGTGGGCTAAGAATAGGGGCACTTCTTCTGTGGGCATAAATGAGGAGGAGACAGATTCCCCCTCATCAGTGAGGGATCTGGCAGTGAGGGGCAGCAGACCTTGGCATCATTCACCTGATACCGCTTTTGCAGACATATAAAATATAGGAGTTATAGGACAGTTAAGACTGCTTGTTCCTGCCGGCAGCTGCTGAGAAGACAGTATGGGAAGGTGTGAAGGAGAAGCCTACGTTACTGTGGACACTTCAAGATATTAGAGATACCAAGGATGTAGAGTTTCTGCTAAAGGAAAACTGCAGTCTACAAGAGAAAGGTCATATGAGCTACTACTGGAAAGGCCATGGGAGCAGGGCTGCCAAAGTCTACTGGAGCTCATATCACTATCATGTGCCCTGGGTACCAGACACAGAGATGCGGCATTTCACCTTTGTCTCTTCTAGATTTAGTCTTGCCTTGACTTGATCTCTGCCATTCTCCTGATCCTCCCTTTTAGAATGAATGTTTCCTGTGCCATTGTATCTTGGAAATATCTTTCTTTTTAATGTTATGATTGTTTACAGCTAAGAAATTGTGTGGTTTTTAGAACAGACTTTGAACTTCATCTTTCAAGAAACGTTACAACTGCTGAGACTTTGAGCGTGTTTGGAAATAGACTGAATACATTTTTCCCTGCAAGACAGCCATGTGTCTTTGGGGGCAGAGGTGGGATATATGGTTGAAATAGAATACATCCCACATAGAGCCATGTGTGGAAACCTAGTCCCACAGCTGGCAGTTTTGTTTTGAAGGTTCTAGAAACTTAAGGGGGAGGTAAGTCACTGGAAGTGTATTCTAGGGAGGACTTCTCTTTGGATCCTTTTCTATTTCTCTGATGTCTGTTCAACATGAGCTGAGGAATTTCCACCCACACTCTAACTGTTCTGATGTTCTTTCGACTCAAGCATATAAGACCGAGAAAACACACACTGAACTTTCTAAAGTTTAGAATCTAAAGCCACAAGCAAAATAAATCCTTCTTGTAAATTTTTTCTGTCAGGTAGCTTTGTCATAGTGAGGAGAAAAGCAACCCATGTGTGCCTCTTCTAGAACTCAGGGGCCATAGGCATCATTTGGCAACATTTTGGCCTCTGCCCTCTACTGCCACCTCTTCTGTGTTCATTTCTGGCTCATAAGGACATCTATCATTGCTCTAGGACCATTCTACTCCAGAATTACCTCCTCTCAGTTCCTATCTTACTTCCATCAATAATATGAGGTTGCCAGTGGACAGGAACTTTCGGAGGACACTGTTCATCTCATGACCCTGAGGAAATAGCACATGACATGTCCATGCTTTCTGTGTTTATGTGGGTTCTAGTGTCTGAGGACCTTGTCCTGTAAAGCCCAATACTGCTATGCTCACCCGTCCAGGCACCTCCCATAGTCATTGGTCGCCTTGAACCCCATGATGGAGAAGATGGTGATGGATGCATACAGGGACGTCATGCTGTTGACCAGGGCAATGGTCACGGCGTCCTTCTCACAGTTGTTCCTGGACACAAGCACATGGCCATCATGGGACTTTCTGGGTCAGAACCAGCCTTCCTATGGGAGGAAACGGGAACGATTCCCTCCTTAGCACCTCTACAGCCTGAGGCAGGCTCACTCTGAACCTGGAGGATATGGAGGGTGATCTCACACTCCCAGGATGACTTCAGCCTCTCCCCACACTCCTCCACTACAACCCATCTCAGAACCACCAAGGTCTGAGCATTCATGGAGTGGTGGGCATAGGTGCAGGTTTTTGAGACTACTCTCCAAGGAGAATGCACACAAGTGCACCTTGAGTGAATCCAGGCCACTGAGTTACCATAAACACTCAGAGACCCCTTTCCTATAAAAGGTGGATGGCCACATAAAGTTGGTTTGTTAGAGTGTCATAGTGTGGACCGGTAGCTCAGATTAGTGGTACTGCACCCTGGTATCCGGCAGCAGCATCTGTGTGTGTCAGCATCAGACCAGAAAATTTAACACTACATATATGCTTTTATGGTACATGTACATGTTATGCACATTTTGATCAGCATCCTGCCCAGCGTGAAAGACATGTGAACACTGCCATCAAACATGAAGTTTCTGGGGCTGGAGAGAACTCAGTGGTTAACAGTACTTGCTGCTCTTACAGAGGGCTGAAATTAAGTTCTTAGTACCTACAAACATCTGTAACTTCGGATTCAGGAGATCTGGCCTGATCTGGCTTCTTCTGGCCTCCTCAGCCACCAGGCACACATGGCAAAACACATACACAGTAGGCAAAACACCCACACACATAAAAATAAATTAATAAAAATAAAAAATACCTACAGAAAAAAAAAACTGACCAGAGCTAGTGAGAGCTCACTGACTCTTGACTGATAGTAGGTGAACCTGCATAGGGCCAAATTAGGCCCATTAAATGTGGGGCACAGTTGTGAGGCTTGCACAGTCTGTGGGGACACCGTCAGTGGGACCAGGATTTATCCCTAGTGCTTGGACTGACATCCAGGAGCACATTCTTTTTCAGAGGGACATCTTGCTCAGCCTAGATATAGGGGGAGGGCTTTAATCTTGCCTCGAAGTGAAGTGTCAGACTTTGCTGACTCCCATGGGAAGCCTCACCCTTTCTGAGGAGTGGATGGGGAGATGGGGCAGGGGAAGTTAAAGGAAGTGGGAGGAGGGGAGGGAGTGGGAACAGGGTAAAATAAGAAAAGGTTGTGTTAAAAAATTCTTAATAAAAAAGGAAAAGGTAAGTTAAATAAGTCATAAAGAAAATGAAGCCACCTGTGTTAGCCATAATAAAAAGCAAAACCAGAGGTCACAACAGAAGGGAGCTCTTGCACAATTGCCTAACAGTCAGTATTGCGGGGATTCTCCTGGACCACAACCTCACACAAAGTCCACCAGAGAGTACTTCTGCACAAACAACTGTTAACCCTTTCCAATCGACTTCAGACTATTGGCCACTGCGTCAAGATAACCTGTTATTCTCGTTTTCTTTGGGATCTGACCATGGTCTGCTGTGGCACTGGGCCCAGGCCTTTAAATTGCATTGCTCTGCTGTTTCCAAATGGACGACACCAGGATTCTTCAAGCATCTTCAGTTGTTTTTGTAGTCTACCGTTTACACCCCTGTTCAGCCTTGGGTGAGCTAGGTACTTGGTGGAGTCCAGACGCTGCCACCGAGGCCCAACCTGACAGCCTTCAGAGGACATCCTGCATTATCTTCAGTAATACAGTAATAGTTATTCAGGAAGTCTTAAGAAGCCCCTATTCAGAATGAAATTCCCACTTGAAGTTCACAGGAGATTCCCCTTATCGGACAGCGTGATTCCAATTTGCTGTGTCTGCCTCAGGTTTGCTGACTCAGTGCTGGGACTGTAAAGACATCCACCACACCCCCACCACCCCCAAACAGTCTGCATACCTGGGCGGGTTGTAGCTTGCAAAAGCAATATGTCCTCCAAAGGCCAGAGACAGGGAGAAAAAAATCTGAGTAGCTGCATCCAGCCAGACCCGTGGGTTCTGGAGAATCTGCATCTGGAATGAACAGGGGTGGCCTCATTATGCAGTGGGCAGACCATACCAACTTGTCCATCTGACTATTTCAGAACACTGGCACAGTCGTGAGCGGGAGGGTATAACTCGTTCTAACATCTCAGAAGTGAGCAGCCTGGGGGTAGCAGCAGACTCAGTTCTGAGATGAGTCTGACAAGCCCCTGGCTCAAGAACTACAGACCTAGGGCTCTCTAAGTCTTTACCTCCTGGGCCTGGCATTAGTGTGCCTTGAGGTGCTCTGAGGGGTATGAACTATCTTTATCCACTTTCTCTGATGCTCACGTTAGGAGAAGTGTGCTGGAAAATTCCCAGGATCTTGGGGTTATCTAGAAGGGTCACAGGTTCTGGGGTACAGGCCTCCTGAGTCTTGTATCTCACCATTATGGGGAGCAAGGCAGGGGTCAGTACCTGATCCAGGTGTGGGTCACCTGATCCCCAGCCAGCCTCTCCCTGAACTACACTCAATTGCAGCCCACCTTCCCTCATGTGTCTCCCCACTCAGTTATCTACTTGCCCCAGATGGAAGTCTTGCAAACTTCATCTAGCTACAATGCCCCTGCTGATCCCTGTGGGTGTCTGCACTCCACTTGACTTGGCTTCACTCCACTTTACTGACAATGTACCCTGGCTGTGACCCCTAGGAGCGTAAGGTCTACTTACGTTGGGAGTGAACAGGTAGGTCAAGCCCTCTGTTGCTCCAGGCAGGGTCAAACCTCTGACGAGGAAGATGGTTAGTACCAGGTAAGGGAACAGGGCTGTAAAGTAGATCACCTGAGGGCAACAAAGAACGATGTGTGGTTGGCTTGTGCCACAAGGAAGCCTTTGTAGGAGCAGCTGAGTAGACATCCAGGACTTATGTCCCAGTACTCTTCTCAGACTAGGACAGCACTGGGTATTTGGGAATGTGGGGGTCAGAGCAAGGTCAGACTCATGATTTTGGCTCATAGCCAACATCACACCTGCCTCTGTTTTCACATCTGTGCCCTGTGGGGTCAGCTGAGGGAAGACTTGAGGTCCTAGGATTTGCAGGTCTCTCTCAAGAACAAGAATTGGTCCCCATAAAGAGGTGTCCCCTCTTCAGGCTCTCTCTTCCTAGCCTTTGCTCCAGCCTTAACCTCTTACCCCTCGGCCTCTTCCTCTTTCATTTTTCAAGACAGGGTTTCCTCTGTGTAGCAGCTCTGGCTGTCCTAGAACTCTTTCTCTGTAGACCAGACTGGCCTCAGACTCACAGAGATCCTCCTGCCTCTGCCTCCAGAGTGTTGAGATTAAAGGCATGCACCACCACCGCCCAACCAGCCTCCTCTTTTTATCCTCTGCCCCAATTCCCAGCCTGTGTTCTCATCCCCAGGCTCCTCCTCATATCCTGGACCCCCTCTTTTAGTTCCCACTCCCCTTCCATAGCCCACAGCCTCCCCCTCTCCAGATGCCTCTCCAGCCTCCTCCTGTTATGTCTCCCTTCTGCAATAGCTATGTACAGACTCTACTCAATCTTGCTTGGACAGCCTTGTTCCTAATCTTGTATCCTTCTGAGGCCCTCTTCAAACTCCTTCTAATCCTCATTCTGGGCTCATTGGTTTCTTGCTATGTGGTCAGTGTCCTCTCTATACCATCCTTGTTTCCCTGATACTCCAGCTGGCCACACAGCTAGGCCCTGTCTACACCTGCCCATACTCTCCCCTCCTACACTGGGCCAGCATGGTCCTCAGCTGGTATTTCAGGCTTCTTCTCTCTAGGTGTCCACATGTAAAGGATGTGCAAGGGACAGTAATCTCTGTGTGTGCCTAAACCCCATGAGCCAGATCACAGGACCCGCTGGTACATTTTCAAGAGCTTGCTGAGAACGTGACAGGCTGTGTGGATTCTGTACAGACGCTCGTTAGCCATCAGTCAAAGGCAGAGCCAGGATGTGAGGGTCCAAATGGCCACCTGAACAGAACCTGCACATGATAACCTGGGTGACTTTCTCCTGTTCCCGAGGAACAGTAACCAATAGTACCACTGTTCTCTGTCTCTGACAGACAATGGCCTGTTCACAGCAGAGCCAGACAATGCTGGTGCTATTAACACTTTAGAAGCAAAAGCGGTGCCAAGCCAGGGAGGGAGAAGAGGGAAAGAGAAACAGGAGGAGGCTCTTAAAGGCACAGGTTATATGAGGTCAGCTGCCAATGAGTGGAGCAGTCAGTGCTCTTGGTAGCTCTGTGACAATCCAAGGAGGACATATTGGCTGTAACTCCCCAGAGAAAGAGTAACAGGAGCAGAGGTTTGGTGGGACCCACAGAAGACAACCCGATGGAAGAGTTAATCCCAGTCACACGCACCAGGTGTGAATGGCCTAAACACCCCAGTAAGGAGAAAGCATTCAGAGTGGGATGAGAGGCTATCAATAAGAGCACACATTCAACATACACACACAGAGGAGGATAGACATGCTGTGTGAACACACAGAAGAAAGTCAGTCCCCATTAGATACATGTCAGTTCCAGGACAGGCAAGACCAGGAGAAGGAATCACTGAGAAACCAAGAGGGGCCAGTTCTAGAAAGCACCTCTGGCACACAAGCTCTCCATACACAGTGTGCAGACAGTGCAACTCACCTTCCCTGTGCTCTCAATGCCTCTGATGACGCACAGGTACACAGTTGTCCAGCAGGCCACCAGGCAGAGGAACAGCTTCCATTGGATAGTGCCTGTGTTGTTGATGTCAGATGTGATGTTTAGAGTCTGCCGGTACCAGAAGTAGCTCACGGTGCCGCTGCCCTGGCATTCCTGCACAAATCCTGGAGCCAAGAGCACTGTTACAGGCTGGTCTCAGAGTCTGGAGACAATCCATGCCATTCCCTAAGCACTACCCATGAACTACAAGTGCCAGCACGGCAGACCCTTCACAGCCTGGAACTGCCCTTAAAGGGCTCCTTGGGCTGTTTTTACTGCCTCCCTTTTGGGCTCAGGAGCCCCTTGTGTGCATCTGTGTGCATGTGTGTATGTATGTGTATATATGTGTGGATGTGGTGTGTGCACACGTGTGCATATAGGGCAAAGGATAACTTCGGGTGTCATTCTTAGAAATGCCATCCGACTTCTTTGAGATCGGGTCTTTTATTGTTCTGACATTCACCAACAAGGCTAAGCTGGCTGGTCAGTGAGCCCCAGAGATATTTCTTTCTCTGCCTCCCCAGTACTAGGATTATAAGCACGCACCACCACGTACAACATGCGGTCTGGCGATCAATGCTTGTGAGGCAAGCACTTTATCAACTAATCTCCTAAGTCCCCAGGAACCTTTTCTTGCTTCTCTTTGGTACCAAGGCCAAGATGAAGACCTCTGCAAGAGGCTAGGTGCCTCTCTGGAAGCAAAACTATCCAGGTGACTCTGGGCTCAGCATGTAGCCAGAGGCCAAGACTGGAGCTGAAGGACTGGATTTCAATGTGCCCTTTAGGGAAGAGACCTAAGGTATGTGTTCTGTAGCTCTGCCTTCATCAGCTCCAGAGCCAGACATGGAGCCTCCAAGTTCCCAGTGGTGTCTTACCTGTTCTGTTGAGATCCAATGGGCATGTGCTCCAGGGCAGCGGGTGTTGGAAGGAGTTGAGGAAGTACCATAGGACCCACAGAAGAACGGTATTGTAGTACAGGCTGATCAGGAAGGACACTGAGAAGCAGCCCAAGCCTGAAGACACAGTAACGCACCCAAAGTCAGGTAGAGAATGAAATGGAACCCTCCCGTTACAGGTGGCCCATCACAGCTGCTTCTGTATCCAGCTCTCTTCGCCCTGTTCTCCTATGCTTGCCCTGTCTCTCACCATAAGCATGCTCCACTCCCCAATTAAGAGGTCCCCAAGGGACCTGAGTAGGTGTCATGGTCTGGGAATGGGGCATACCTACTCCACCAAGGTAGGGAGAGATGGTCCTCCACACGCCAATGCTGCCCCTCCGCAGGCGCTGGCCGATGGCGAGCTCGATGTAGAAGAGCGGGATCCCCTCAAAGACCAGGGCAATGAAATAGGGAATGAGGAAGGCCCCTGCAAGGACACAGGGTGAGCAGATAGCCTCGGGGGCCCACAGCTGATCAGTGTGGTCGACGGAGTGATGGCGTCATCAAGCAGTGCTCACGACAGTTGAAGTGTAGTGTCTGTTCCCAGCATGTATTTGGGTCATCCCACCAGAGTGAGGGACGGCAGAATGACAAGGAGATTCCACCCGGACGTTAGGGCCTTTGGTGCTTCTTTTTTTTTTTAAGTAGTATCGTGGAGGCTAAGGAGATAGCCTAGTGGTTAAAATGTTTGCTTTGCAAGCATGAGAATCTGAGTTCAAGCCCCCTAATCCTTGTAAAAAGCTGGGCATGGTTGTGCACACTTGTAATCTCAGCTCTGGAGGTGGGGGTGGTGGACAGATCTCCGTAGCTTGTTGGATAGTGAGCCAAAGCTTACTTGGCAAATTCCAGGTCAGTGAGAGATCATGTATTAAAAAAGTAAGGTAGATGGCACCTGAGGAAACAACAGCTGATGTTGTTCTGTGGCCTACAAACACATACACACACACACACACGCACACGCACATGCACATGCATGCACACACATATGCAGCACGCGCGCACACAAATACACACATACACAATGTAGAAGCTAAGAAAATTGGGGGAACAAGTCAGCCTGGTGTCCCAGCCAGGCCCCACAAACTCACAACTGTCTTATTGGAAGCTGTTCCTCAAGACAGTACAGTCTATATTTGATATCTCTCCTCCTGCACCCCCAGTATAGAGCTATCATCAGTGCAACTGCTCTGAATCTGTAGCTATGTGAAGGGAAACAGGTGTCTAAGGGAGAGAGGCTTTGTGACTGTGTATGGGGGAGTGACTTTGCTCCTTTACTAAGTAATAGGCTGTCATGGGTAGAGTTTAATGATCAGTAAAATAGTGTCCATAGTCCTAGGTGTTCTGCAGAACCTCTTGACTCTCAGAACCCAAGCCTGTGCTGTGCCAAGGGTCGGCTGCCTTGGGGGTGGATCATTGATGAAGTCAAGCAGCTCTCTATAATATTATGCAAAGAACCAGGAAGAAACCAACCCTGAGTCTAGCTGGACACCAAGGTGGTGATGGGAACCCAGAGTCCACTGCTTGCATTCGAGACCAAGACGCAATGTGATAGGCAGCACTGGTGCCACATTGTAACTCTTACTCAAGATCCCAGAAGGTTGGGTGCCAGGAGCGACTCAAAGACTCTAGGCTATTCTTTGGATAATGGCAAAATAGAATTTGCAAGAAGAGACAGTTGCCACCCAAGGGCAGAAAAGGCTGGACAGGGAGCATGTTGGGAAGCAGGTGGCTTACCTCCCCCATAGGTCTGGCACAGATAGGGGAACCTCCATATGTTACCCAGTCCCACGGCAAAGCCGATGCAGCTCAGGAGGTACTGAAGTTTGTTGTCCCACTTGGGCCTCTCATCCTCCATGTCCACAAGTGGGTCCATCCCCGACGCCTGTGCCATGCCGAGCGGTCACCCTGGGTATGGCTGAGAGGTGTGGCTGTAGGATGGGCACCTTGCAGACACTAGCCCAGCGAGCCTTCTGGAGTCGCTGCTGCACTGAGGAAGCCGGAGCAGTCATCCCCTCCTTACAATGTTTCTCCATTTATTTAAAGAAGCCCAGTTAATTGCTAACTGGAGTTGAGCTCCTGCCTACTGCAGAGCCCATCTTTAACACCTGCATCTACCAGCCTAACTGAGGTTTTCTTTATCATGTAAAAGTAAGTAGCAGAACCTGAAAGCACCATACTCAATATAGACCAGATGCTCCAGAGGACCTGTAGGACTCCCAGAATGGCAAGTCCAGTTGGCTATTAAACCTATTTATTCTGTAACTAAGCCTGTAGTGTAAGTAATGCATGTTCGCTTTCCATAAAAGACAGCAGAGCAGACCCCAAAGTGTTCTCCTCTTCCTCTAGGGTGACACCTTGAAGCTTATGGCAGTATGTGGACAGAAGTGTGTTGGGAGCTCTGAACCCCCAGATCCTGAATTTCTCTTAAACAACTTGTTTTCCCCTGATCTGAGTGCCTACAGCTGCTCTGAGCACGAGACCCTCAGGAGTTCCTGATGGCAGGGGAATGGTTTCTGGTGCGTTTGGCTGGGGTGTGGCTATCCCTATATAAGCTGCCCCTGGACCCAATAAAGGGGGCCTTCTTGAGGCATTCTGGCATCAAGGATGACCCGTGTCTCTGTGAGTCTTTGTGTATTTCAATCTCCAGTCCCTTGCCCGGTTCACAAACTGTATGATGGCACATAGAGCGCAGACGGGCGTGGTGCACCAGTGTTGTGGTCCAAAACAATGTCCCAGGAGGCCACCTGCTGCTCTTTCTATGGTGCTCAGAGGCCCCCAACAGCCCAAACTGCCCGCAGTCTTCTCTCATGAAGGTTCTGTGAGTGGACTTGGAGCTCACAGCCTATACCTGCTACCTTTACCAAGTACAGCCTGGAGTTCTTTGGGTTCTCTTCCTGAGCAGTACATGCTGATCGGAATGTCCACCATTGTCCAAACTACATATCCACTGCTCCAGTCCTGTTGGGGTGTCCCAGGGGCAGCTGCTATGAGAAGCTGACCTTGGCCTTGAGTGGGCATTGGGCATGGTCTTTATTTCCCTGGAATATGAAGTCAGAAGAGTCCTACCACGTGCTTAGTCTTCAAGGACGCTTATTTCAGGTGTCTGTGGATTTTGTGGCTAGTTCTAAACCTCCTTGTTTTGAGTTTGTCAAGAAAAACTCCACCTGAACCCCCAGGCTGCACCTGCTGAAGACCCGTGACACAGCACAGAAGGCCCTGGCTGAGCATAGCCCACAGCTCTCTATGAACAAGAGTTTTGAGGGGTGAACACAGGACGCTTCTTCTTCATGTGCTGGGGCTTGAAGGACTTCTTCCCACCTCCATCCTCCTCCATCTTCTGCAGTAGTGGCCCCGATGTTGTCTTGGCAGAACAGAATGATGCTACCATACATGTTTGTGACGTTCTCCAGGTTCTCCGAGACTCCCCCTCATGACGCTTTCCCCTGTGGATGGGCTAAAGGCATCGTCGACTCTTGGGCCCCGTAATCTTCATCCTCCTGGACACGATTTTGACGCCTATGCATCCACAATTCCAAATACGTAGACTGCAGAAGCCTAGGCTCTAGGAGCTGCATTCCTAAGAGATCCTATTTTGAGCATGACGGTAAAGGGAGAAAAAGCTTGAGAAGAGACAAGAAGTCGAGGGAAATGGAGGATACGGAGGAAAGTCTCAAGTAGGGGATACACCTCCTTGATCTCACCCCCGCCCTGCGATTGTTTATGAGGTTCTCTCTCCCCCTGCTTTCTCTATCTTGCAACTTCTTGCAACTTCTGCTTCCAGGGGACCTCATTCCCATGCAGCTCCATGTCCGAAGTCCAAAGACCTTCTGATCACCTTCCAGTAAGCAACAGAGTGTGTAAGGCTACACTGTAGCCTTTGTCTGTCCCTCTGGGCTGTAGGAACATCTTCAGAGAAATCCCCCAATCCAGAGCTGCCTGAGAGGTAGGGCTGGGCTTACAACCACATCATATCTGCAAGTTTTTGGTGCCTGCCATGGGCCCTGCTCATCCTTCTATGTCTGAGTGACTTCTTTGCCTGAATAATGACTCTCAATCCAAGAACATAAAGTAGAAGTGCTTTATTGAGAAAGATGTATTTTAGACCCATTGACCAACCTGGATTTCTGTCACACTCACAGCGGCATGAGGCCTAAACATAAGGCATGGACCAGAGATAGCAGAAAATTTGGTTGGCCTCTAGCCGGGACACATGGGGCCACATTGGAATCCCCAGGATGCACACCACAGGACATGTATTGATGGGCACCAATCAGTATTTTTCCAGCTGAGGCTTCAGAGGTCCAGAGGTGGGACCCACTGAAACTACAATTCTCAAAAAGTTCAGTTCTATCTGAATTTGGACTTTTTTTGTACAAAGAGGAGGGCAGTAGCTTGTTGTAATAAACACTACAAGTCCCAAGTACCTATGACTTGGAGTGGATGTGAACTCAGAAACAACCAACCTGTTGGGGGAAGAGGCAGGCATAGCCCTCTGTGACTTCACTGACTGCCACAAGACTGAGAATTTCTAGGCTTCACAGTCACTGGGGTGCCTAGGACTCTTGGAGTCCTCAACACGGTGGCTACAGCTGAGTTACCCTGTAACCCTCCTTCTCCAACATTTGGCTAAAGATTTACAGGCTCATGTCCTCTTCAGATTGCAGTGTGGTTCCTGCTTCAGCAGAGAAGAGAAAGTCAGCTTGGCTGCTCAGCAGCCCATTCAACAACCAATGATTAAGCAGGCATCTAGGAAGCTAGGGTATGCCAGGCCTGACCGAGACAAATCTTCTGAACCTTGCAGCCCACCAGTTCCTGTGTTCTCCTTAAAAAGCAGAAGGGCGCAGACTTCTAATTCAAGGAACTTGGTCCAGCACTCACAGCAAGGGGCAGGGGATCAGCTGGGATTCAGCAAGGACCACATGCCCAGGAGCCAGGCCAGCCTCATAGCCTCATCTCCTGCCTTCTACTCAGGGGGAAGGAGACCAGTCCAGGCCTCCATATCTTCACTTTTGACTCTGCCAGGAATTTGCAGTGTAAGGTGGGTCCTGGGGCCATGTCTTTCCCAGGCTGTAGTCCTGGGAAAAGAGGGCAAGAGGAGGACAACAGGCCAGAGCGGTAGGCACTTTCATCATGAGCATATAAAAACATTTTCACATGTGTACCATGTGTGCAAAGATAGCATAGACTTGTGCATATGCCTGTATGCAATGCACAAACATAAGTGTACATGTACATGCATGTACATACAGAGCATGCAAATTTCACACATGAAGATATGCACACAAATATATGTACATAGGTTTATGCATGCACAGTGCACACAGTTGTATATACATATCTATAGATGTACATGTGTGAACGTATGTATCACATGTGAGCACACATATGTTAACACACGAGCGTATATATACATACATATAACACTCGTGTGCATATGCACATGTATACACAAATATATGGGAACTTCCTAGTATATATGCACACATGCACAACATTCACACACAAACTCACACTTTTATATATATAAACAAATTTATGTGCACATGCACCACATATGTACATACACATCTATATGTATATAGTGTGTGCAACTGCTATATACACATAAATATGCCTATTATTATGTGCCCCACATATTTGTGTAGCATTTGTATACACTTCTGTATGATGTATGAATGCATGTATATATACTCGCACATTCACACACATTTCTACCCACTTCCCCCAAGGGTCCTGTCTCTTGCTCTCCTCCATGTATCATCTTCTGCTTCATACAGGCTAGACCCACTCAGTTCTTCAGGTCACCATTCACAGAAGCTGTGGACATTGCATTGACCAGCCCGTGGTGGTCCCCAGACTTCTGGCAACGGTTTCTGAGGAGGTTGTAGATGGCAAAGCCAGGGATGGAGAGGCAGGGTATCCCAACCACAATGACCACCACCGCATACACCCAGTTGGGATATGCGACCTTCTGCATCTTGGGGAAGTCCTCCTGGGGAGAGATTCACAGATAACAGATGGAGAAAAGGGTCTACAGAGTCTATGATCTCACCTTCTGCCTCCTGAAATGGAGCCCTTCTCCCACCCTCATACCCCACTGCTTGTCCCCTCCCCCCTCAGCTCTCCTCCCTCTCCACACAGCCGCTGCCTGGGTACTTACATAGTCAGGGTCCCAGACGCTATACATGAGCTTCTGGGTGACCTCATTAACAAAAAAGAAGAGGAAGATGACCAGCATGATCAGTGGGCTGACCACTCTCCATGTGATTTGCCAGAAGATGTTGGGCTTGTAGCCAATCATGAATTCGATGTCCTTGTTGAACCTGCAGTAGAGGCCAGAGGGCAGGATCACTGGAAGCTCATAAAGGAAGATGACTGACCAGTTTTGTATATCTGGACAATGGTTGTCATCTTGGGATACTGTAGTTTGGCCTTCCCAGGATAATGTCCGCTAACTTTGTGGGGAAAGACGTGCCTGCACCCAGAGGGGTCCTAGGCTGTCACTGCCAGCAGCTGCCACCAATTCTTGGAATCCCCACAGCACTGGGATAGGAGTTTATCATCAGAGGTCTTGTACTCTCATCCACTTCCTGTTATATAACAATGACAACAGCAGACCCTCAGACTCTCCTAACGCACACAAGACTTGTCAGCTCTTATGTGAGCTGCAGCACCGCAATTTCCTGACTGCTCAAAGCTTGCTCTGTGGCAGCATCCCAGCAGTAGACAGGGATTTGTGATCAGAATGAGACATACAGAACAAACTGACGAGTTATCCAGGGCCCCCGCAGACACTAGGACTTAGGTGCAGGCTCAGTGAGGACCTCTGAGAAACCGGGCCATTTGAACCCACCACTAGTCCAGTGACTGTCTTTTTTCACCTGTTTGGGCCATCACCTTCACCATGCTACTCAGAGTGGTGTGGAATTCAGACCACTGTGCATGTGCTAGCTGCAACCACGATTCAGTTCATACGTTTCTTGTTGATGTTTTCAAACATCGCAAAAGTCACATGGTTGGCCCTG